GGGGGGGGAAGAGGGAAGGGGGAAAGAAGCATGGCTAAGGTGCTTAAAGGATGTGCTGATTCACCATTTCCCTTAATGAACTCCTATTGTAGGACACCTGTGAAACCCTGATTTCAAATTATAGCTGCCCTTTTCTGGCCAAACCTTATTTTTTCCTTTCTGGGATGAATCCCCCTCAGGGCAGCAAGCCATCTCTGGCACAGCGGGTGCAGTCAAGCTTGATATGTGATTGCTCACTCACAGATAATGAAAATTATTCCAAAACAGAATCATTCTTTTTTCTGAACCAAATTGTGCTTTCCTATGACTGTATCTGCATCTGAAGGGTTGAATTTATACCATACATATTGCACATTCTAGGCAGAGAAATTCTTACAGCCAATAGGGTGGAAGGCGTTGAAGATTTGGCCTTTGATTGGATCTCCAAGAACCTGTATTGGACAGATCCTCGGTACAGGAGCGTTAGTGTTATGAAGTTGTCTGATAAATCTAGAAGAACTATTGTCCAGAATTTAAATAATCCTCGATCAATAGTAGTTCATCCTGTTATTGGGTAAGTCTGACTTTGTTTTTACTTTAAAAACTACAAACAGTTGCATATTTTAGCAGCATCAGCACAGGTTAAATTTACCTCTCAGAATTTCTGTTTTTGGGCTTTAACTCCTTTCCAAAATTCTCTGTCCATGTTCCTTCTTCTGGTTTTTTTCTTATCCTGAGCCATATTACAACAAAGTGCAAAATGATACACATTTAGCATGAAAGGAATATGCAACAGAATTATCTTTAAAGGCACAGATTTTTTTCTTTTGCTATCATTTATTGATACAAAGCCAAGTTTTCAGCGTGTTAGTTTTTTATCATTTGGATTAGAAAATTGTTCTCTACCTCCACAGTCTAGAGATACTTAAAAAACAACAATGGTTCTGTAGCACCTTAGAGACTAACAAAATATATAAATAGTATCAAGAGTTTTCATGGACACAATCCACTTCTTCAGATAACAAATATGGAACAAGGGGCACAGATTTTGGAAATCTGTGTCCCTTGCTCCATAATAGTCATCTAAAGAAAGGGGTGATGCCACAAAGCTCATGATACTATTTATATATTTTGTTGGTCTCAAGGTGCTACAAAACCATTGGGGTTTTTTAAGTTTTTTTTTTTAGTTACAGACTAACATGTCTACCCCTCTGAGTCTAAGGATAGTTATTTATGTTTTACTTTTAACATTGGGCTGTTCTCAGAAATAAAGTTTGGATCCTTTTATGACTTCATTTTCTTTTGAATAATTCTATCTGAAATTTTAAAATGGTGCTGTTTGTCTTTGACATACTTACATTTGTGTAATATGATGAAAAGAAGAGGCTGCATTTCTTTTGATAGAAATGCCTAGCCTTAATTGTAACTTTCCATACAACTGCAGATATGCTAAAGTGTCACTTTCACTACATACTTATGGTTCTTATCCCTGTTATAAGTGTCTTAATGATTCTTTTCATATTTTCTTTAATTGCATCTTCATTTTTAATAACCCATTCCCATAAATGATTGAGCTATCCTAAAAGAGTAGAAATGAGCTGATAATGAACATTCTTAATCTCTGAACCTTGGAATATGAAGCTTTGTTTGTTGGTAGAGTTGTGTTTAGCAGCTAAGTTTAGTTCTATAACTGTAGATGCTTTGTAGGATCAGAACAAAATCACTGACATATTAAAGTCTACCTGTAAGTATTAAGAAAGGAATTTGTCATCTTTTGGTTTGATTTGCTTTTTAAATTAAATCACATTATACATTAAAATCTTGACAAAGATGTGCCTATTTTATACCTAAATGAACAAAGTTTCTGAAAAGTAGCAGCTACTGTGTATGAAATAGATGTTTTGCTGCTAGCATTACTACCACTATAGGAATGGACCCAATGATATACGTACTATTGGTGACCAGTAACTAAACAGATCCTTGAGGCTGCTGGTCTTACCCAGCAAGTTTTATTCATTAATCTGTTAAATCTGGAGGTTTCTTGCTGTGTTTGCAATGCTATATGCTTAATTACAGGCGAAAAAAGCAAAGTGCTGCATGCCTCACTGTCCTAAAGAAATATTCTGCATTTATTGGGGTAGTTTCCAAGATTTATGAACCTCACTCAACACACACACACTCTTTTTTAAGTACTTAGAAGGGTGCCTCTCTCTCTCTATTGTCCTTCGGTAAACTCTCTCTCCTTGTACCTTTCCTTTTCCTGCCGTTCTGTATTATCTTACTCAGGTGTCATCATATCTTTCATCTCACCCTCTTCAACACAGCTAATTGGTCCTGCAAAGTTACTTTACAATGAGAAGAGTTCCTTGTGATTTTTCAGTTTCCAGTCTTTGCTGTAACATTGACTCCTGTGACAGTGGTTCTGATTTGGCCCTGAGTGGAGTAGATAATTTTCCTTTTTCTGCTGCCAATCCAACAATCATCTCTCTTTCTGCCGTATGTGCTCTATTGCTTGGTGAGGTTTATCTGCATGATCTTTCAGTTGTGCTAATACTTCTCTCTCTCAAAATGTACTTTTTTCCCGCAACATGCTTTTTGTACTTCTGATACACTAGTTTCCTTTATTTCAGGGTTGGGAGCCACTGATCCACAGAAAAATCATTCGGGAGCCATGCACAAGTGAAAAAGCAAAAAACCCCCCCAAAATACAAACAAAAAACAAAACCCCCCAAAACAACAAAAACAAACCCCAACAAACAAAAAACCCCACCACCACCACCAAAACAAAAAGGAGATAGATACCCTTCACACCCCCTAGCGTAGAGGGGCTAGTTTAGTAGATTGTGTGCTCTAGCCCCACGGGGAACAGCAGGGGGTTGGGTGGGGTGAAGTGCCAGTGCAGGCTTCCCAATGCTGGGGAGAGCCCCAAGCCTCGGGGGGCCAGATCCAGGCAAGTTGGGGGCCACATCCGGCCCCTGGGTCTTAGGTACCCCACCCCTGCTTTATTGCTTGAGCTTCACCACTTGTTTTGTAATGATTTTGAGAATCACAAAATTAGTCATTTTTAAGACAGGCCTGTTACCTGACAACACATTCAATTAGTAACTTATCTGTGCAAACATATTTAAAGTCTGTTGTGGTGTTGGAACTCAGCTTTAATTTTCTATTATCCACCATTTTGAATTGAGATGATTACCTGCTGCAAGAAATCATATTTTGTAGTAACTCTTTACTTCTGCCAAGGATTGAGATTTAGGAGAGATGTGAATAGGAAAACAATATAATAAATAGATCAGGCATGTGTTCTTCAGAGCTGTTGCTGTCATCTGTTTTATTATGACATGTTGTCATATGAGCTGATTACTTGAATTGATGTTTCACCTTTAAGTCATAGGCATGGAAACTTATTCTGCACCTCCCAGTTCATGTTGGTACTCTGAGCTCGCTTTGTAAAATATCATTTCCCAGTGCTGTAGTCACTGATCTGTTACCATAAAAATATAAGTGGAAGCATTTTGTTCTCCAAATAATAACAGAGGTTTCTCTTTCCATGTGCATATTATTGGTCAGTGTCCATTAGTGCTCTGTTTACATACGCTATAATGAAGCCTAACTGCATTCAAATTGCCTTGGCTTCTCTTGAGTTGCATCTACTATCTCCATTTCAAGTGCACACACGGGTGTCACACTGTAAAAACAGGAAAGACTTGTTGAAACTGGAGCAATGTCAACACCCTCTCTCCTCTCACAGGGTAGGCAATGGACTCAGCTGGCTCAGGGATGTGCAATTTACTCCTCTCGGGGTCAGATGTAATGAATCTGTGTCCTTTCCTCCTCACTTAGTTTTAGCGGAATACCTGCATAAGTAGTATGAAATATATTGCTTCTGAACAGAGCCATTTCTTCCAACTAAGAGAGATTCTGATTTTTTTAAATGAATGTGATGGCATGGCACAAAAAAGAGAGTGCATGTTTTTTGAATTGTGCATTTTTTGCGTTAGCCAAACTATTTTTGGTGAACAAAAACAGCCATTTCTTGATGTTTATGAATATTTCCCAGGCATTTTCTTCTTTTTTTTCAGTTATATATTCTGGACAGATTGGTTCCGCCCTGCTAAAATAATGAGAGCCTGGTGTGATGGATCCCATGCTTTGCCAATTGTGAACACAACACTTGGCTGGCCCAATGGCCTGGCCATTGACTGGGGGTAAGAAAAAGACAGATGAGAAGCTGTGGAGGTGTTTCTTTTTTTAAACAGGGGACATTGTAAAAGACACCTTTGCAACTATCTTTTATTGTTTACATGAAAGAAAAGTATGGAACACTGTTTCATACTGCATGTTGCAGTGCTTTTATTTTCTCTGGGAGCTGAATTTTTTCAAAAGTCAAAATACATGGGAAATTTGAGATTTTCTCAGAAAAAAAATTCTGAAATAACTTCATGAAAAATCTACTCTAGAGCTATTTACTTATTGAGAGAGGAACTTATTTTTTTTGTAAAAAAGTAATTTTGGGGGATTAATCCTTTTTATGTTTTTAGTGCTTTAAGGCTTTATTGGGTTGATGCCTTTTTCGATAAAATTGAGCACAGTACCTTTGATGGGTTAGACAGAAGGACTCTTGAGCGCATTAGCCAGATGACACATCCCTTTGGCCTGACTCTCTTTGGAGGTGAGTCTGACATTGAAAAAAAATAGTTATTACAATCCATAACCATTTACTGTGTAATGAACTGAGATTGTACATGGTGAAGTGTTATGCAATCTTTTGTGCTGCAGGTTTTCCACAAAAAACGGCATAAAAAGTTTCTGTCATAAAATATACTCAGCACTGCTTAATTTTGAAAGCTACTTTTTACACATATGTACTGAAATCATTTGTGAGTTTAAATGATCGTACTTATAACTAAGTTAACCTTTTCAGTGTAATATATTGGGTATGTTATGCTACTAGTTATGGTTTCTAGAAAGGAGTGTAATCATTAGACACTGTACTGAGTGTAATCATTAGACACTATACCAAACTCTCTGAGAGGTTCCATCAGCCACCACTGACTTCTCAAGAGGTACTCTTGTACTTGTGGGCTTGAGTCAGTTGCATACAGTGGATGTCCTGATATTTATCTACAGTAGCTCACATGATATTAGTAAAAATATCAGAATCTTCCCCTTCCTTATGACATTATATTAAAAAGTTATTTTACAAAATATCTCCAGATGTTGCAAAAGTTTATCGGCAAGCAATTTTTAATATTGTATTAGAAATTAGATGGAACAAAGTAATTACATTCTGATCCAGAATCACACCTGGATTTGAGCTTAGAAAAAGTGTGGGAGGGCAGTTTGGATCTGGTTTTTGGATCAGGTATTTCTACAGGTTTAGTGGCAAATTAGTTTATGGAATATCTTCCACAATGCATTATGCAATCATTTTGCCATTTTTTATTATTCCTGAAAGGGCTAGGTATAAGAATATATTAGATTTACATGACCAGGATTGAGGTTTTATCCAGCATCATTTGATCTTTTGTATCATACTGTATTATAACTGCTACTAAATATTAATTGTCTTTCAATACAGGTTATGCATATTTTACTGACTGGAGACTTGGAGGAATAGTTCGAGTGAGGAAGTCAGATGGAGGAGAAATGACTGTTATTAGGAGGGGCATTAGCAATATTATGCATGTAAAATCGTATGATGCTCATTCTCAAATAGGTAAAGTAACTTGTACTCATCAAAAAGTCAAAAGATTTGCCTTCTCACCTTTAAAGATAACCTTTTTGGGCTGTCACTGGTTATGTAACTGTTTTTCTGTGACTGGGTGTGGCTTTGTGTGGGTGCATCTGCTAGTTGTTTTATAACTTCTTAAAGATGAAATTATGATTTCATTACATTCTGCCCAATTTATTATTCATTACAACCCAATATTTCCACTTTCACAAATAAAGGATATTTTGATTAAACTGCACTATTTGTGACAAAAACTTGAAGACTGGAATAATATCTTCCAAGTTGTGGTGTACCATTCTTTAAATTATCACCTTTTTATATGACTAAAATTTTATTTTAGTGTCTTCACTCAGCTGAAATTCCGTGTGGGTATTTGAATAAATTATTACATGCAGTGTGCTGGCGCTGAAACTTCTAATTTAACATAGAATGCAACAAAATCTAATGGTTGGACTTTATGCTTATGTAGTGCTTTGCATTTACAATGTGCTATACAAATATTATATCAAATCCCACTGTCCTTACTCCGGAACAAGTTCCAGTTTGCAGCATACATGTGTATCTATTTGCAAGCACTTTCCAGCACTGAAACTAAAATAAGCACCCTGTTGTTAGGAGAAATGTGTTATTAAACATGTAGGCTACATCTACACTGCCCTCTCTTGCGCAAGTAAATATGCAAATGAGGTGAAGCGGTGAATATCACCGCACCTCATTTGCATACTTAATGAACCGCCATTTTGCGCAAAAGGCTTTTGGGCAAAAACTCCCTCTTGAGCAAGAGCCATTCTGTTGCTTTTTTTCAGGAAGAACGGCTCTTGTGCAAGAGGGGGGTTTTGCACAAAAATGGCAGCTCATTAAGTATGCAAATGATGCACGGCGATATTCACTGCTTTGCCTCATTTGCATGTTTTCTTGCGCAAGAAAGGGCAGTGTAGGTATAGACTTATTGTATTGTGAGCCTGCTTGTGATCTCATTTATACTATTGTAACACTCTTGACTTTGCATTAGTCTGAGAGCAGAATTAGCCGTTGCATACATTTTAAAACTTTACTCAGATTATTCAGTTTTATATAATTTAATCTTCTACAGTTTGTTATGATTTATGATAAATAAGGTGTTTTAACAGTTTACAGACTATTACAAATTGAACATACAGCCGATCCCCCGACTTACAAATGAGTTACGGATCAAACACTTGGTCGTAACTCGAAGTGTTCGTAAATCAGACCCCATTCATTTACATGCGACCGGGCTGTTCATAAGCGCGGCTCACGTTCGTAACTCGGGGACCACCTTTACGACCGATAATGGGAGGTTTGGTTGTAAGTACAACAGTCGTAAATCGACCATTCGTAACTTGGGGATCGGCTGTATATTAATCTCTCAGGATTTTTTCTTTTTAGGTTCTAACTATTGTAATAGAGGAACAAATCCCAATGGAGACTGCAGCCACTTCTGCTTCCCAGTACCTAATTTTCAGAGAGTTTGTGGCTGCCCATATGGTATGAAGCTGGGTCCCAATCAGCTGACATGTATTGAAGACCCATCAAATGAGCCACCCACTTTGCAATGTGGCTCCTATTCATTTTCTTGTGGTAATGGAAGATGTGTGCCTAACTACTACCAATGTGATGGGGTTGATGATTGTCATGATAACAGTGATGAACAACACTGTGGATCACTAAGTGAGTAGTGTTTCTAATTTACTTGCCCTGCAAATAGTTTTGGTGACTCAGTCTGTACTGGTTTTTGCTACTTATCGAGACAAATATTAGAAGTCTTCCTAACTCACAAAAACATAAATGGTCATGTAGAACCTTAATGACTAATAAAAACATATAAATAGCATCATGAGCTTTAATGGGCATAACACATTAAATATATATTTATAAATATATATGTATATACTTTTGTTAGTCTCTATGGTGCTATAGGACCACTGTTGTTTTTTAAGTTTTTTTAGTTCCAACTTTAACATGTCTACCCTTCCGAGACTTCCTAACTCATGTGATTAGTCCCACCGAAGTTAATGAATCTACCCACATGAATAGAGGATACATAATTGGGCCCCTGCAGTGAACACAATACATCTTTTGACTGAAAATGGGGCTTGCAGTGTCACAAGAATGGCTTTTTCTAGGAGATTTCCATTAGTTTAAGGGATTAGTAAGGCTGCAAGGTAATATAAGAATAGCTGCTGTGGCATTTTGATATTTCTGCTTCCCAATGAAATTAGTAAATGCAGAGGTATGTGGATGTTTGAACAAAATTGTGTCAGGATTTGAATTCTAGCTAAAGGTTTGGAAAGGTTTTTATTTTATCTACTTGAGTTCTCCCACGCCTGGTGCCTATATGTCTTGTTTCCCATTCTATAGTAAAGTGAATTAAGAGTACATTTTCAGCTTTTATTGTTCATTTCTTGGCTTTGCTGTAAATTGGCTTAAATATACAAAGTGTCTGTATTTGTTAATTAAAAGTAAATTGTGAGAGTAATAGGATAATTATTATTTATAATATAATACAGGCAAGGTATCAGATGAATACTGCATATTTATTTGGTGCTTGGCATCTTCAAGGTGATTTATAAGTAAAAGTTAATGTATTGGCAGAATACCTGGGAAAATGTGGGTGCATTGCCTTCTGGTACATGGGACCAGCTCTGGTACATTTACTTTACTGTGAGTTGCATGTGTGTAACTGAGGGTAGAATCTGGATCTGTACTGTTACTCTAGAAAAACCAAGATGTCGTTTTGGTGAGAAGGAGTAAATTACTCTTAGGAGCAAGTGACTTTTCTTCTTTTTGAGATTATTTTGAAATATTTTAAAAACCTTTACATTTTACCTTATTATTAATAACTGCAATTTGCAAAAATATTTAAGAACATTTAAAAAAAATTCTGTTGCTCTCTTGCCATAAGTAATGATTATGATACCATTTTTAGAAATTACATAAGTACATTTATAATCTTGAAATGTATTTTCAAGGAAGGCAAGTTTTGAAAATATCACTGTACAAATGTTTTCAAATTTTGTTTCTCATTTAGATAATTCTTGTGCTTCATCAGCCTTTACCTGTGGCAATGGGCAGTGCATTCCAAGTCGCTGGCGTTGTGACAAGCATAGTGACTGTCTTGATGGCAGTGATGAACAGCATTGTCCTACACAAGGTCCTACCTCATGCCCAGTAACCTTGTTCACCTGTGACAATAACAGGTGTATTCCCAGGATCTGGCTATGTGACACAGATAATGATTGCGGTGATGGGTCAGATGAAAAAAATTGCAGTAAGTGTTAAAATTATCTGGTTTGCAGTACAGTGTGTGTAGATTACATATCACAACAATAATATATGAGATGGGAAGGGAAGGGTAGGGAAGAAAGAACCAATTTGGAATTTGGATTAATACTGCTCCGTCTTATGGCACTTGGAAAAGCCAATGAACATTTAAATATTAAGACCAAAAGGAAATACAAAGCAGTCACTATTAAACATCACTGTTACAGCATCAACTATTACAAAATCAAGAAAACTAAGGCAGAGTGTAATTCAAGCTAGGTAGGCAAATCAGGCAACCGGAGTTGCAAATGAAGCCCGGGATTTAAATATCCCAGGCTTTATTTGCATGTTCCCATCCGGCCGCCATTTTTAAATCCCCCTTAGTTCAAATGAACTGCCCACGGCTACACGTGGCAGTTTAAAGTTAATCCGAACTAAGTCCTAAGGCTTCATTTGTAACTCTGGTTGCCTGATTTGCCTACCTAGCTTGAATTAACGAGCTAGTGTAGACATACCCTCACATACATGAGTGGTGCCATTGACTAGTCTGTTGATAGGAAGGCTCCGTCAGATAATACAGGGTGAATGTTTTCACCCAGCAATAAATCACAGAGTTTTTGCAATGGAATAAGAGCATAAATTCTTCTTTGAGTGATATCCCCGTGGGTGCTCCTCTGTTGGTGATGGGTCATCCCGAAGCTGCAGATCAGAACTTTTGCAGCAGTTCTCACATGGGCCACGCATGCACGAGAGGTGCCTCGTGCATGCGCGGCTCAACCGCCCCCTTCAGTTCCTTGCTTACCTCCCTACGTCGTGGTCAGAGCTCCTCTCTTGCCTCAGGCATTCTCCTCAGCATAGTTAGAGTTTCTCGTAGTTTTTCTTGTAGTTTATTGTTCAGTAGTTACATTTCTCTTTCCAGTTGCCTTTAAAAAAAATGTGAGCAGTGCTGCAGCCTTATGGCAAGAGCCAGAAAAGATAGGGGGCTTCGGCTCCGTATGATTCTCTTTGGAATGCAGCCCTCTGAAGAGCCACAGCCACCTCGACCCCTTGTGGTCACTACTAAGGAAAGGGCAGTTTCTCCATTGCCCCACAAACACTCGAAGAAGAGAGCTTCCCCGGTGCAGTCTCTTCCTCCTACTCTGTCTCCGAGAGTGAACAAAGGAGACGAACCCAGAACCTCCAGTACTGCGATGCCGAGACCATCCACCGGCACCGCTTCCACTACCACCCGCACCGCTTTGGTACCGACCCGCTCAACCCCAGCACCAGAAAGACCCTACCAGGAAGCCTCGGCTCTGGCACTGACAAAGGCCTCGGCACCAGCAACCAAATAGGTGCCTTGCAGACCATCTGTACCAGGTCCACTGTATTGGCAATGGCCCCAGTGCCGCCTGCCTCAGGAGCCCCAGTACCAGTGGAAGTCCTTCCACATAATCAGCAGTTGGCACCACCGGGCCGCTCTTATGTTCCTTCAGCATGGGCTAGGGACGGCAGACAACATGCTCCATCTAGGGAGCTGTCTCAAGTGCCGTTTTCGCCCTGTACTTTCCCATGCTATGTGAGTTCCCCAGTACTGTCTGAGTGCACCATACTGAGGGAGGATGAGCAAAGGAGTGTTTTTTCTTCCCAACACTCCTCTCCCACGACTTCCGGCCACTACTACTCCCACTGGGATAGGCCTCATCACCTGTCATGGTACTGATTGGCCATATCCTCCACACTATCCACCCCATTGATCACCATGTGAACACTGGAGCTCCCGTAGGCACCATTCCACAGCTCCATCTATGTTGGTGAGGAGACCTCCACCAGCCTCACCTCCTCACCCACTTCTGACCCATGATGGATTCAGAGGAGGAGGAATGCCAAATTCTGGATGAGCAGACTGGCATACAAAGTCCTGGGAACTCACCTACTAACAATTCATCATCACCTCTGGATGAAACAGTCATACCTGAAGATATACATATCCCACAGATGACATCAAACAGTTCCAAGAACTTTTTAAGAGAGTGGCTGCCAACGAAGAGGCCCAGCTTCAGGAATTAAAGGGAAAACAACACTGCCTCCTGAAAAATATCCATCTCACCTCTCAGGGAAAGATCACACTGCCCATCGATGAGGCTGTTATGGAGGTATTGGAAGAGATGTAACTTCAGCCTCCATCCAATCTACTTCCAAAAGAGCCGACGGGAAGCATTTCGTCCGTCCTAAGGACTTAGACCTCCTTTTTTCTCACCCGCAGCCCAAATCACTACTGATGGATGCTGCAAATCACCATTCAAAAGCTTCACAATTTAGATCCACACCTAATGACAGGGAGCATTAAAAGTTGGATCTATTTGGCAGAAAACTATATTCCTCTGTCACACTGCAACTTAAAATTGCAAACTATTCCGTGCTCCTAGTGAATCACGATTTTGACAACTATTTAAAGCTATCTGAACTAATGGAACGTCTCCCAGACTCCAAGAGGCCTATACTCAGATCTGTCATTCATGAGTGTCACATCATCGCCTGTACAGCTCTCCAGTCCTCATTCAATGGCAGCTAGGGAGACAGTGACAGCAGTCATGATGCGAAGAACTTCCTGGCTCCAAGCAGCGAGAGTACCTAGCGAGTTACAGTCTAAGGTGGAGGAGCTGCCTTTTGACAAACAGAAGCTTTTTGCCACCAAGTTGGATGATGTTCTGCACAACAGCAAAGATTCCTGAACCACACTCTGAATGCTGGGAATGTACATGCCACCATATTGACGGAAGCACTATACTCTGTACCACAGGTAGGCTGTCTAGACTGCATCCTTCTGTCGGCAGAGGCACGCAGTCTAGACGCAGCCGTACAGAGGCAGTTACTATAACGGTCTTCAGCAGAGGCCGTTTGACTACAACTGACCCAGACAACGGTCCCAGAGGATGTGCTCCTTGGGCTCCCAAGCTGCGAAGCAGCAGATTTGAACTTTTGGTCGAGGGTCTGCCTGACCTCCCTATACAGCCAGTCCAACAAGCCAGTATCAACTTTTTGCCCACAGGCTACATCCCTTTTTCCATCACTGGGATTCCATGACATTGGACCAGTGGGTATTAGAAATCATTCATATGGGATACACCATTCCCTTTATTTCACTTCCCCCTACCCTCCTTCCTGTCCCGTCCCTCCTCAGGGACCCCTCCCATGAGACTCTTCTCAGACAAGAAATCGATGGTCTCCTTCACTTAGAAGCAATAGAGAGGGTTCCAGACCTCTTCCGGGGAAGGGGATTTTACTCCAAATACTTCCTGACCAAGAAACGCACAGCGGGTTGGAGACCAATCTTAGATCTCCACAAATTAAACACATTCCTATGAAAACAGCGATTCAAGATGGTCACACTGGCTTCCATCATCCCAGCACTGGTTGGCAGCCTCGAAATACAGGACACATACTTTCACATCATAATATACCCTTCTCACAGATGTCTTTTCTGATTCACCATGGGCAAGTACCACTTCAATACAGAGTCCTCCCCTTCAGACTATCCTCCAGCACCTGTGTCTTTTCAAAAGTCCTAGCAGTAGTGAAAGCTTACCTCCAACAGCAGGGAGTTATCATTTTTCCCTACCTATATGCCTGCAATCACATGCAGAGGTCACCAATGTGGTCTCTAGGACCAAACACCCATTTCATCATCAACCACTACTAATAAATGAACAGAAATCGACTTTCGATCCCATTCAGGACATAGAGTTTATTGGGGATTGCCTCAATCCCTTATCTGCCTGAGCTTACCTCCCACACCACTGTTTTGTCGCACTTCAGGATCTGGTAGCTGTCCTCTCCATGAGCCCTTCCACTACTGTACTTACCTGCCTTCGGCTCATGGGTCATATGGTCATCACCACCTACGTTGTACAACATGCGCATGTCTACTTCCACACCCTGCAGCACTGTCTGGCATCACATTGTCCCACTATCCACTCCACAAGACAGTTACCATCCCCAAAAACATTGGATTCTCTCAAATAGTGAATGTCACCCGACAGCCTTATAGCAGGGATCTCCTTTCATCAATTGAACCAACCATGCAGATCACAATGGATGCCTGCTTATTAGGTTGGGGCGCACATCTACATCATATCTCCAAGAGCAGGTGGCTGCCTCATGAAACAGTATTACACATCAATCTTCTCGAGCTCAGGGTCATCAGGAACATGTGCAGACACTTCTCTCTCATCATTGCCAACTGTGTAGTTCGCATACTCACGGACAACATGACAACCATGTTTTATATAAACAGGCAGGGGGACACTCAATCCTGATCTCTTTGTGTGGATGCTAGCCACCTTAGGAACTGGTTCATTCACCACAGAGTCATCTTGAGGGCATCATACCTACCTGGTGTGAACAATGCCATGGTGGATGCCTTGAGCTGTAAATTCTCTACCGACCACAAATGGGAGATACACTCAATGGTGCTCACCTCTGTTTTTTGTCGATGGGGTTACCTGTCAATAGACCTTTTTGCAACTTGCCACAACACTAAGTGTCCCCACTTCTGTTCCTGAGCAGGACTGGGTGAGGGTTCACTGGGCAATGCCTTCTTAATTGCCCAGAGAGAACCTTCACATTATGCCTTCTTATTGATTCTGCTGATCCCAAGAATCCTGTGCAAGGTTCAATTTGATGGGGCCTAGGTCATCTTAATAGTCCCTTCATGGTCGAGGCAGACCTGGTTTCCATCTCTTCAGCACATGTCCATTGAACTGCCGTATCCACTGCCTCAATCTCCTTTCTCAGAATTGGGGCAAATATTGCACTCCCAACCCCGCACCCTTCGCCTTCATGCTTGGCTCTTCTCTGGTTCCATGATGATGAAACCCTCTGCTCAGAACGCGTGAGAACAGTTCTCCTCCATAGCAAAAGACCATCCACCAGAGCCACTTACCTGCAAAAGTGGAATTGGTTCTCTTCCTGGTGCTAGTAGATGCACGTTGATCCTCGAACTGCATTGCTACACTTGGTCCTCAATTATATACTACACTTGAAAAGCAGAAGGCTATCCATTTCATTGCTCAAGGTACATCTTGCAGCGATAATGGCCTTTTGTGTGCAAGTTGATGGGTCACCTATTTTCACTCACCCCATCACCTGGAGATTCCTCTATACCTCTCTCATAGGGCCCCAGCACCATTGTGCAATCTGGACTTGTTTCATGAGACCCCCCCCCCTTTCAAGCCCATGGTGACTTGTTCACTTCCGTTCCTTCTGATGAAAGTGCTATTTTTGATAGCCATTACCTCTGCAAGGAGGGTTAGTGAGGTTGGGGCTTTGATGGTGGGTCTGTCCTATACCATCTTTGGGAAGAACAAAGTAACTCTGTGCCCAAATGCCTCTTTTTTTACCAAAAGTCTGCAATTCCTTCCCCATCAATGAACTGATAGTTTTACCTAAATTCTTTCCCAAACCTCATACATCCCCTAGGGATGCTATGCTTTATACCCTGGACATTCAACATGCGTGGCATTCTACATTGACAGGACCAGATTTTCGTAAAACTCTGCGCCTTTTTGTGTCGCGCGCAGAATGCATGGGAGGCATGCCAATTTCAACCCAGCGTTTTTCTAAATTGATATCATCATGCATACTACACTGGTATTCCATCTGAAATAAGCCTTTGATAACTCCACCAAGGGCACACTTTACCCACGCTACTGTAACTTTGACTGCTTTCCTGAACAACATGGCTCTTAAAGACATTTACCGGACAGCTACCTGGTCATCCGAACATACCTTTGCCAGGCACTATGCCATCATGCCTTAGTTCACAGAGGACACAGAAGTAGCTACAGTGGTCTTGTCTTTAGCCACCAAGCAATGACTCCGAGTCCTGCCATCCTTGTCTAGCACTGCTTTGTAGTCACCAACAGTGGAGCACCCATGGGGACATCACTCAAAGAGGAAAGGGAAGTTACTCACTCTTTGCAGTAATGATTGTTCTTCAAGATGTGTGTCCCTGTGGGTGCTCTATAACCCTCCATTCTTCCCCACTGCTTAGATTCTGCCTTATGTGGACATATGCGAGGAACTGAGGCAGGGGCACTGGGAGGTTAGGTTGTGTGTGCGTGACACGTGAACGACACGAGGCACCTCTCACTGCATGCACGTCTCAACTGCTGCCAAAGCTCTGATCTGCGGCTCCAGATTTACCCTTCCCAACAGAGGAGCACCCATGGGAACACACATCTTGAAGAATAGTTGTTATTTCACAGGGTGAGTAACTTGCCTTTCTCTGGTCACTCTCCTGCAAGTCTCCTCACGAATTGGAGTCCTGGTTATAAAGAGGATGGTGATCATTTGTTGTCCAAGAAGTAATTCATTTGTTGTCCGAAAAGTAATTCTCTGAATTTGCAGCAAGGGAAATGTAAGTTAGATATTAGGAAAATGTTTTTAACTTTAAGGATAATTAAACACTGGAACAGATTACTTAGGGAGATTGTGGAATACCCTTCATTGGATGTTTTCAGAACAGGTTAGACAAACTCCTGTCAGAGATGTCCTGCCTCAGTGCAGGAGCATAGAGTAGATGATGTTTTAAGGTACTTTCCAGCCCTATATTTCTATGGTCCTATTTTGCATGATTTCCAACCTCCAGCTAAATAAATCATTATCTGATACTAATATTTATGGTCGGATGTTTTTAATTTGTTTTGCTGTTAGCTGTTAGATAGCTAAGAGAGTTCATTCTAATGACTTCATGTTCTGGCCATTTTGATGGTTCAAGGTAGAAAGGAGAGAAAGAAAACACTTTTGTTTTGCTCTTGATAGATTTTACAGGGACATGTGAACCTGGTCAGTTTCAATGTCCTGACCATCGCTGCATTGACCCATTTTATGTTTGTGATGGGGACAAGGATTGTGTAGATGGAACAGATGAGCATGACTGCAGTAAGTATAATTTCCCTTGTAGACACAGTTATTTATTAATCTGTGTGTTGTACATAATAGTTTCTTTGGATCATGCCATGTACATGAAGGCTCTTAGTGGGTTTGGCACAGAGCTACTCAGAGGGTATGTCTACACTCGCTCCCTAGTTCGAACAAGGGAGTGAGTGTAGACATACCCATACATATTAGGGAATTTTAGAAGGAATTCTGGATCTCTGGGTATGTCTACACTCGCTCCCTAGTTCGAACAAGGGAGTGAGTGTAGACATACCCATACATATTAGGGAATTTTAGAAGGAATTCTGGATCTCTGGGTATGTCTACACTCGCTCCCTAGTTCGAACAAGGGAGTGAGTGTAGACATACCCATACATATTAGGGAATTTTAGAAGGAATTCTGGATCTCTGGGTATGTCTACACTCGCTCCCTAGTTCGAACAAGGGAGTGAGTGTAGACATACCCATACATATTAGGGAATTTTAGAAGGAATTCTGGATCTCTGGGTATGTCTACACTCGCTCCCTAGTTCGAACAAGGGAGTGAGTGTAGACATACCCATACATATTAGGGAATTTTAGAAGGAATTCTGGATCTCTGGGTATGTCTACACTCGCTCCCTAGTTCGAACAAGGGAGTGAGTGTAGACATACCCATACATATTAGGGAATTTTAGAAGGAATTCTGGATCTCTGGGTATGTCTACACTCGCTCCCTAGTTCGAACAAGGGAGTGAGTGTAGACATACCCATACATATTAGGGAATTTTAGAAGGAATTCTGGATCTCTGGGTATGTCTACACTCGCTCCCTAGTTCGAACAAGGGAGTGAGTGTAGACATACCCATACATATTAGGGAATTTTAGAAGGAATTCTGGATCTCTGGGTATGTCTACACTCGCTCCCTAGTTCGAACAAGGGAGTGAGTGTAGACATACCCATACATATTAGGGAATTTTAGAAGGAATTCTGGATCTCTGGGTATGTCTACACTCGCTCCCTAGTTCGAACAAGGGAGTGAGTGTAGACATACCCATACATATTAGGGAATTTTAGAAGGAATTCTGGATCTCTGGGTATGTCTACACTCGCTCCCTAGTTCGAACAAGGGAGTGAGTGTAGACATACCCATACATATTAGGGAATTTTAGAAGGAATTCTGGATCTCTGGGTATGTCTACACTCGCTCCCTAGTTCGAACAAGGGAGTGAGTGTAGACATACCCATACATATTAGGGAATTTTAGAAGGAATTCTGGATCTCTGGGTATGTCTACACTCGCTCCCTAGTTCGAACAAGGGAGTGAGTGTAGACATACCCATACATATTAGGGAATTTTAGAAGGAATTCTGGATCTCTGGGTATGTCTACACTCGCTCCCTAGTTCGAACAAGGGAGTGAGTGTAGACATACCCATACATATTAGGGAATTTTAGAAGGAATTCTGGATCTCTGGGTATGTCTACACTCGCTCCCTAGTTCGAACAAGGGAGTGAGTGTAGACATACCCATACATATTAGGGAATTTTAGAAGGAATTCTGGATCTCTGGGTATGTCTACACTCGCTCCCTAGTTCGAACAAGGGAGTGAGTGTAGACATACCCATACATATTAGGGAATTTTAGAAGGAATTCTGGATCTCTGGGTATGTCTACACTCGCTCCCTAGTTCGAACAAGGGAGTGAGTGTAGACATACCCATACATATTAGGGAATTTTAGAAGGAATTCTGGATCTCTGGGTATGTCTACACTCGCTCCCTAGTTCGAACAAGGGAGTGAGTGTAGACATACCCATACATATTAGGGAATTTTAGAAGGAATTCTGGATCTCTGGGTATGTCTACACTCGCTCCCTAGTTCGAACAAGGGAGTGAGTGTAGACATACCCATACATATTAGGGAATTTTAGAAGGAATTCTGGATCTCTGGGTATGTCTACACTCGCTCCCTAGTTCGAACAAGGGAGTGAGTGTAGACATACCCATACATATTAGGGAATTTTAGAAGGAATTCTGGATCTCTGGGTATGTCTACACTCGCTCCCTAGTTCGAACAAGGGAGTGAGTGTAGACATACCCATACATATTAGGGAATTTTAGAAGGAATTCTGGATCTCTGGGTATGTCTACACTCGCTCCCTAGTTCGAACAAGGGAGTGAGTGTAGACATACCCATACATATTAGGGAATTTTAGAAGGAATTCTGGATCTCTGGGTATGTCTACACTCGCTCCCTAGTTCGAACAAGGGAGTGAGTGTAGACATACCCATACATATTAGGGAATTTTAGAAGGAATTCTGGATCTCTGGGTATGTCTACACTCGCTCCCTAGTTCGAACAAGGGAGTGAGTGTAGACATACCCATACATATTAGGGAATTTTAGAAGGAATTCTGGATCTCTGGGTATGTCTACACTACAAAGTTAATTTGAACTAACTTAGTTCCAATTAGCTAATTCGAACTAAGTTAGTTCAAATTAACGTTGTAGTGTAGACGTACCCTATAAGTAGTATGCCCCTTGAGGTGTGAGTTGGTGTAGAGTGCCAGCAACCAGCTTTCTCTCTGCCCCTTTGGGACGCTGGTTTCCCATGGGATGCAAAGGATTTACAGTTTCTGTGCTCTACCCTCCCAATCTTTTATACCTGTAGACAAGCTGAGCACAATAATCCTTTATAAGGTGATAGCTAATGCAATATTGTATTTATTAATTTCTAGTATACAACTGTAGTGCCTCAGAGTTCAAATGTGCAAGTGGAGATCAATGCATCAGTACTTATTACCAGTGTGACGGTGTTTTTGACTGCAATGATCACTCAGATGAGACTGGTTGTCGTAAGTACACTATAGTGAATAGACATTAAAATAAAGGCTCTGATTATTAAATAAAGTTTATAAAAACTATCTTGCACACTACTGGGACTATAATATAATGTTCTGACAATGTTTCTATTAGAACCTCAAAACTACTTTCTATTTTTTGTCTAAAAATATTTCTCCTAAGGAAAAGCTCTGCATATTGTAGGTTTCAGCTCAAGAGCAAATTTTCTGGCATAGGCTAGTCTTCATTCTTTTTTCTTCAGCCAAAACTTGAATGGCTTTTTTTGGGCAGACTTGACCCCAGTATTGTTTCTTTTTAAGATTTAAAAATAAAATTTAAAAATATTTAGAATTATGATCCTTTTTTGAAATCTTTAAAACCCTCAAGAGCTAGACCATAACTAAAGATTGAACACTTTGTAGTTTGAGCTAGTTCCTTTGAGTAATTTTATACATTTAAATTAATCAAGATTTTGATGTATAAAGAGCAGATAATTGCTATTTCAAAGACTTATAGTAATTTCTGTGAGTATGTATGTGCATATTAATGTGTACATTCTCAACACTATGTGATAAGCAAATTAAGCTACTTGTTCTTTGCATTAAAAATTAGCAAAAGTATTTAGGAGAGTCTAAAACATCATGTATGTTGCCAGATTTGGACCTGTGGCACATGGGTACAATTCTTTTGACTTCTCAAGAATTGTACTCACTTATACCACAGTTGAATTAGACCCATTGTAATTGCATCTCCATTTGAGTGTATAAATACTTTTAACACCAAATATCACTCTTCTAGCTACACGGCCACCAGGGATGTGCCACCAGAATGAGTTCCAGTGTCAGTCTGATGGCAATTGCATTCGTGCTAACTGGGAATGTGATGGCCATCCTGACTGTGCAGATGGCTCAGATGAACATCAAAGATGTCCTGCCAGGACCTGTCCTCCATCTCTTTTCCGCTGCGATAATGGAAACTGCATCTATCGAGCGTGGATCTGTGATGGTGACAATGACTGCAGGGATATGAGCGATGAACGAGATTGTCCCACCCAGCCTTTCCGGTGCCCCAGCTGGCAGTGGCAGTGTCCAGGTCACAGCATTTGTGTGAATCTGAGCAAAGTGTGTGATAACATCGCAGACTGTCCTAATGGGGCTGATGAATCCCCACTCTGCAGTAAGTTGCTGTTGTACGATCGTCTAGAAACATTTGCGCAGTTTCAAAGAGTTATCCTGACTGCTTCCTGGTTGCATATTCAGCATAGCAAAAAGTGCAAGATTCACTGTGGACTCAGAAAAATGTGCTGGGATTCAATATGAAGCTAGATTAAGTGTGAATCTCAGATAGATGAACTGCATGTTGCAAAAGGCAATTCCACATGAATTCACTACAGGTGGCTGTGAGCCCAGTCTTGTCATTTTTATTCAGTTGGTCTCAATGCATAGGCCTGGGATGTAAGGGTACAGGGGGTGCAGCAGCACCCCCAGTTTTTATGTGGACCTGGCGACCCTGCGCCCTGCTCCCCAGCTGCTGGCTCTACACATAAAAACTGGAAATGCTTCCCATGCCTAGGCCCTGCTCTGGGTCCTCCACCCACATTCCACTCCCCCACCCCTCAGGTCCTGTTCGCTGGTCCCATGATCAGGGTCTCATGCCCAGTCCCATCCTGTGCTCCTAGGGCCTGCCCCATTCTTGGCCCCACTCTCCAGCTGCTGACCCCATGCCTGGGGTGGAGCCCTGTGCCTGGACTCCTATTACCAGTGCTTCTCTCCAAGGGCCCTACACCAGGCTCCACAGCCAGGGCTCTGCTCTTGGTCCTGCATATGGGATCCTGGCTCTTGGACCTTACCCGGGACTCTGCTGTGCCCCCCCCCCCTTTTAAACCTCTCCAGGTCCCTCCTTCCCAGAGACAGAGCTCTGCTCTCAGCACAGACAGGGAGCTTTCTGCAGCACCACTATTAAAAATCTTCCAGTGCTACTGTCTCCATGGATTTCCACTATCTTCAGTGGAGATTTTGTTTTATTTAGGAGTCAAATATTGGACCTAATACACTTCCGCTCGACATTTTAAAAATGGAACTTGATCAAATCTGTTGTCATTTAAAGTTAAATGTTAACTTTAATGTTTTCTTAGACATTTCTAACTTTGTTTTATTTTTATTATAATCTAAAAACCCATGAGGGAGCAGAATTTGTGTTATGTTGATTGTGGCTGTTGATTTTCACTTAAATGTAACTTCTTTCTTTCTTTCCTTCCTTCCTACATTCCTCTCTTTAATCAATGCACGCTCTCAGATGAACCCCAGCCAGGTATGATTATGAAATATATTAAATTCTTATGTACTAACAATATTTTATATTCCCATATGCACTGTAAATGATTTATATACTTCCAGCTAACTCTGCTTTTAAGCATTATAGAACTTTAGCAAAGCACTCTTCATGTTTTGAATTCCTTTTACATAATAGCTTCAAATATTAACTTATTTTTCTTTTTATGAATTATATTCTATTCTGTAGTGTGATGAATAAAGGCCCTGGCCACATTCTCAATAATTGGCAGTTGTGTTAATGTATCAGAAAGCAGAATGTGGCCCAGAGTGCATATGCACAGAATTGATACATGCATAAACAAAATCTGCTTGTTTCCCCTCACCCCTGTTGCAGATCAGGAGAGCTGCTCTGACAGTAACGCTGGCTGTACTCATGAATGCATTCAAGGGCCCTTTGGAGCTCAATGTACGTGTCCAGTTGGATACTATCTTGCCAATGACTCCAAGACCTGTGAAGATATAAATGAATGTGACCCTCCAGGCTTTTGCAGTCAGCATTGTTACAATGAAAGAGGGTCTGCAAGGTGTTACTGTGATATAGAATACAATTTAGAAGCCAATGGAAGGACTTGTAAAGCTGCAGGTGAGGAATACTGATGTAAAATCTCAAGCAGTGACTGGAAATTCTAGGTACTTTTCACAGCACCATGTACACAGACATTTTGATAATGCTTGCAATTCTCGTTTTACAAGAGGTTACAAAAATGGCCATTTTGAGTAATTCATGACATAGAATCCTGACTATTAAAACTGTTAGCTGTGAGGCTAGCTAGTAATCATAATTTTTTCCAATCTGCTTGAAAATTGATTGTTTTGGATTTCTGATATTGAGATTGTGAAAGTACCTTTTGGAGGAAGGAGGTAAGTGGGTGTGCAGATGCTCAGTACCTTTCTGCTTTTGGCCTACTGAGCAAAATTTGCTTGTGGGAAAAGTGCAATAATCTATGAACTATTTAAGTCCCAGCTATACACAGAACTTATAGCTCTTTGGGCTGGCCTTCTGTGGAGGAGCAAATGTCACCCACTGGTCCTCACTCTCCATAGTCTTGATGGAACTCCAGCAGTACAAAGGAGTCATAAACTCAGTGGCTCTTGTCAGCCGGAGGATTTTCCTGTAACAGATGGAATCCTCATGTGGTGGAGCAGCTCTGCCACACTCCTTATAGACTGTGTGGTTGGAGAAAACGAGCATGGCAGTGGCATTTAGTCAGTTGCTGTCTACTGGAGTGACAGGCCCTTGACTTTCTGGGCAACTGTATGCTAGTCAGAATGACCCTGACTTATGCTGAGGACAGTTGGTTCTAGGCTGGCCCTAGAAAAGTGGCCACTTTCAGGCTACCTTTCATCCCAATACTTGCACCAGAGGTAACGTGGCTGAAAGACATAATTGGGAGCATTAGGTGGTACTCCTCAGCACATACTACAGACAAAATATACATAGCATATTCAATAGTTACTTTATAGGTAAGGCTAAGATTTAGTCATGGGCAGTTTTAGTAAAAGTCATGGACAGGTCACAGGCAATAAACAGAAATTCATGGCCTGTGACCTGTCCATGACTTATTACGAACCCTTGACTAAATCTTGGGTGTTCTGGAAGGCTGTGGGGGTGCAGCTGCTGCTCTGGTTCTGGAACAGTGCCTTGGGGTGCCTGCTGGTACTGGGACAGGCTTCTGGTGTTCCGAGGGGGGAGCAAGTTTTAGGGCACCTTTTGGTGCTCTGGGAGAAAGGGGTAGGTGGGTGCCCCAGACCCACCATCACTGCTTGCCAGGGGTGGCCTGGGACCTCCAGTGCTGTTGCTGGTGGTGGGCACCTGCCATCTGCCACTGCTGGTGAGGGGTGGCCTGGGAACGCTGTTGCTGCTGGCAGGAGGCTTCCCAGTACCTCCACAGCAGCTGTGGTCAGGGACTATAGCTGCTGCTGGGGAGGAGGAGGTCTGGGACCACTGCTTTAGCAGAGGGCCTGGTAAATCTCGCTCTGAATTGCTCTGGCAGCCCTGGGTTCAGTCACATCTGCTGGCTGCAGAAGTCACAGAGGTCCTGGAAAGTCATGGGAAAATGTAGATAGCTTGTTTTTATTGAGACGCTGTAGTACCTCCATATTTTGAAGCAAGGGGGCACCCTACTGTCAGGCGTGTACATTTTGCTGTGCTTGGGAACACTCATTCATATTTGGTAAAGTTATAAAATCTCAGTGGTAAAATTTCCTCCTCTAGAAAAAATTTTCAAAATGGTGTATGGGGTTACTATTGCATAGCTTATTGTTTTGTATTCATTTCATTTCTTTTGCAGAGTCTGGGAATCTCCTCCTACTAGTGGCAAGCCGTAATCAAATTGTTGTAGACAATATCACCTCTCAAGGACACAGAGTTTATTCTCTGGTTCGAGATGGGAGGAATATAGTAGCTATTGATTTTGATTCAGTCACTAATCGCATCTATTGGTCTGACACCACACAAGATAAGATTTGGAGTGCTTATCAAAATGGCACAGACCGAAAAATAGTAAGTCTGTTGGAGAATGTAGTCTTATATTCTCTCTCCCTTTACATAATGAAAAGAAATAAATTTTCAGTTAACAAAGATGTAAGATGCAGTGTTGTCATAGCCATATTGGTCCCAGGTTTATAGAGGGACAAGATCAGTGAAGTAACATCTTTTGTTGGACCAGTTTCTGTTCGTGAGGGAGAGAAACTCTATGTAGCTTGAAGGCGCGAAACTCTTGCCAACAGACATTGGTCTAGTAAAAGATGTTAATTTATCCCCCAGGTGTCTCTAAAGACATGTAAGAGGCAGCTTTCCATGTGTGGTAATGAAAGGAAGGTAACCTACAGAAAGTGAAGCAGCTCATGACTTGCAGGAAGTTTAAAATTCCATAGATGATAAAGCACTTTTACATATAACATTTTGAAAGAGAAGCTAAAGTTGTTAGGAAGCACGTGCGAACACACACTATACATACTCTTGCATGTGGGCTTGTTTTATTAATGCTACTCTGATGTTATTCCTACTTCTTTCTTGGTGCCAGAATGTAAAACTTCCTTACTGCTAGTGGGCAATAATTCACCCAAGTAGTCCCTTGGACATCAATAAGACTATTCTGGTGAGTAATGCTTACCAGAAGGCACATAAGGTTCATAATCTGGCCCTTATTTTGTATAAGAAATCTACAGAGTAAGTGTTACTTGTTTCTCTGCTTCTATAGCTTTTTTAAGGAATGTTACCAATACTGAATTGTAAATTATTTAGTGCCAACTAACTCTTTGGTGTTTTTAACAGGTGTTTGATAGTGGTGTCACTGTGACTGAAAGTATAGCGGTAGACTGGGTAGGTCGCAATCTTTATTGGACAGACTTTGTCCTGGAAACAATTGAAGTGTCTAGACTGGATGGAAGCCACAGAACTGTGCTGATAAGTGAAAATATAACAAACCCAAGGGGACTAGTGTTAGATCCCAGAAATGAGTAAGATTTTTTTGTTTTTTTTTCTAATAATTTCAATGCCAAAATAATGCTAATTTGTACTCAAAGTGCAGTATTTACCAAAATTTATCATAACAACTAGGGTTTGGATTATAGGAAATTTCAGTTTATTAAACTAGGATTGTTCAGAAGTCTCAGTTATATAACAAACATTTAATCTTATTCAAACCACAGTATTATACTGCCATTTTAATGGTCTTTTACCTTAACTAGTGTCTTTGTTATCTTGAAACAGATGTTATAACATTAACGTGTATGAAGCCTTGTTGCAATTGTGTTAATGCCAGGACATTAGAGAGACCAAATGGATGAGATGATGCCTTTTATTAGATCAGCTTCCATCGTCTCTTTCACCAACAGAAGTTGGTCCAATAAAAGATATTGCTTCACCCACCTTGACTCTCTAGTAAAAGTTACTTCTTAGAGAAGAGCCTATGTTTTATAATGTTTATATATTGTGGTTATTCAGCATTGCATCCCATGGCTACATTCAGTATAATATGTCATGTCTATATAGGCACAGAGCTATTTCTCTTGCACACTGAAAACATTTACACTATGTTAATTTTGGAAAGTAATTCATTAAGTGCTTTCCCATCCAAAGATGTGACAAAACAGTTAGTGCTGAATAATAGTGGCAAATGAATTTTCTCCCATTATTGTGTACTGCTGACTGTACTGAATAGTGGAAGGTAAATTGACATACCCTTGTATCCCTATACTGTTTTATTAGCAGAGCTTTGACAGTTTGCTCCACTCTCTAACAGCTTGAACTCTGAACTATGCTGTCAGTCATGCTGAGTGCCTCAGTCATAATAATATGGTAGCTGCATAGGGGACACACCATGAAAGACACAAATGTCTGTTTTATTAAGCTGGCATTAAGCAGTTCAGGAGTTGGAATGTAAACCATTTTATGTAAGAGTTGAAAAATAATCACATAATTATAAAATAACTACCAACTGTGTAGTAAAGCTAAAGCTAAAGCAAAAACATGTTGAAAATGTTTCATTATAAAAAGTTATAGTAACTTTATTATATAAAGTTATAGTTATACTTATTTTGAATAAGAAGACTCCTAATCCACTAATCCTACATTGATTTCAAGAGTGTGTATTGCAGAGTATATTTTGTAAGTGTTTTTTATTTTTTCTAAAGACTTTCTCTGAGATTTCTCAGTATCCAAATAATTTTTCTCAATCTGTAACCATCCATTACTTTTTACAGTATTCATTTAATGTTCTGGACAGACTGGGGCCAAAATCCTCGAATTGAAAAAGCTAGCATGGATGGCACAATGCGAACAGTTATCGTTAGTGATAAAATCTACTGGCCCAATGGACTTTCCATTGATTACCCAACTAAACTACTTTACTTTGCTGATGCCTATCTTGATTATATTGATTTTTGTGATTACAACGGAAACAACAGGCGACAGGTGGTAGCAAGTGACTTGGTAAGACAATAGTAATGAAAACACCTGTTTCCCATGGTTCTAAGTTTCTTTTATGTCCCCCATTATAGGTGGGAGCTAAAAGATTAAGAGAGTTGCCCAAGGTCATATAGCAGAGCAGGAAATTGAAGTTGGGGCTCCTACGTTCAGGCTAGTGACCTAAACATTGACCTAACCTTCCTCTCACCTGGCTCTGTTTAATAGCACGACATCTAAGAGTCCTACCCTTCTTAGCTACTAAACTAATGCAGTGGTTGTAGCTGAATATGTTATGTAAAAGCTTGAAAAACATAAGGGATATTCTGTCCAACAGAGAAACGGCCGTGATATGCTCTGTGCTGCTAGTACTCACTGTTGAGAGGAGCACATGTGGAAACCATGTCCCCACCTATCGCTGTGGTGTGAGTTCCAGTGGGGCAGCAGCTAATATTTGCTACTGTATCTCAGGTCATCATTTGTTAGCTCCCATCTCCATCTTTTCATGGTGCACATTGTTGCTTGAAGCACAGCTTTGCCCACTGTAGTTCCTATCTACTGATTTGGTCACAAGCAGGATTCAGTCCTTTTATAGTATTGTACAGTGTTGTCAGCTAATATTATAAGAAACAGAAGTATGTGAGGATTAATGTATGGAATTCCTCTTGGTGCTAATAAGAATTACATGCACATATTTTTCCATATTAAAACAGGAATCTATCCCCCTATATCAACTAAATCTGGATCTGAACTATGTGACCTGAGCCTACTTCTCAGGTACTCTGGGCTCTATAAGATATATGGTGACCCATAGAATCATATTAATGAGTTCTTTTTGGCAGCACAACACACATAAGTCAGAAGCCAAGATTTCTGTACTGTGTAAGCAGCTATCACTTCAGAGAAACTTTCTAGCAGTAGGTCCCCTACTCTACGTGAGATTTCCATAATTAGAGTATATTTGGAGAATGTGATTATTTTTTTCAGTACTTGTGATGATAATAATATAGTATATACTAACCATAATAAATAGCTGAAGTTAGAGTTATTTTAAAAGTTAACAGCCAAGTGTATGTATTACTTAGGCATATTAAATACAAGAAGATTGATTTGGAGTGAATATAACTGAAGTTATCTGTCCATTTTGTGATTTTTAATTTATTAAGTAGATGAAGGGGGGTGTGTGTGTGTGGGGGGGGGGAACAAATCGGTCCACGTTCTTTTTTTAGTTATAGTCTTAGTAACAGTTGGTATAATTGTGGCTTGTGTAAACATGAGTTTGCTACTGCAGCATGAAGGATAGGGGCTACATCCTCAGCTATTATAAACAGGCATAACTTAAATTAATGAAGCTACTTAGATTTACAACAATTGAGGCTCTGACCCAACTTTTGTATGGCAGGACAAACCAGTTCTTGTTAAATTGGAACCATTGCAATACTCAGCTCACTTCTTTAACCCCAAACTAATTTCCCTCAGATTTCGATAAGTGACCCTCTATGACAGGCCAGGAAGTGATGGGAGGTTTTCAAAGGTACAAAGAGCACCCATTGACTTTTCTATTCATGCCTTTGAAAATTTACACCCACCCCATTATTTAATAGACCCCTCTATTCTACCTTTACAACATCCGATAGTTCTATTGTTCTTCCAGGCTAGACATCTTACAAGGACAGACAAGTGTTTATTTACCAAGTGCTTTTTTATTTAAAAACTTGTTTCTTTCAAAAAGCAATTAGTATCTATTATCAGGTGACAGAGGAGAGGGTAAATCATTTGTCTTCCTACTGAAGGATGTCTGTGGAGTGACAGCTGTTATGCTTTCCATTGTGCTTAATGCTGCTGTTATTTCAGTGCAAGCTCTAGATAGTAATACTAATGGAACTGAATTGGTAAATATTCTTGCCTTTTAGGTGTTACGGCATCCACATGCTCTGACTCTCTTTGAAGATTATGTGTACTGGAGTGATCGATACACTAATCGAGTAATTCGAGCAAATAAGTGGCATGGAGGGAACCAAACACTTGTGATTTATAACATTCACCAGCCTTTGGGGATTGTCGCAGTCCATCCTGTTAAACAACCTGGGGGTAAGTCAAACAAAGCAACCTTGGCAACACAAATTAGCAAAATCTGAAATATGCATATTCATAAATGCTAATAGAATCATTCATGCCAACCAAGGGCATGACTTAACATAAGATGACATCACTAATAGTCCATCTGTCCTGGTGATGAAACCAAGTAACCTTGGCAATACAAAATCAAAACAGGCAAAATGTATAGTAAGGCACTGATATCTGGAGTTGCTATATTATTTATTTTTATTTTATTTATAAGATAACTGACACCTTAGAATGCATTTTACATTGCAAAATATCTTTGGGAGGAATCAGTATGTGAATTACTTGTACACAATTATGTCATCTTTTTCGATAAGGTATCTCCCTAGCTACTTAAACACTTTCATTTTGACTTATAGGCCATGTCTATACTGTGCGAAAGATCAACACTGTGGCAGTTGATCTTCTGGGTCTTCTAGACCTGCTCATTCAAACTGAGAGGGCTCCCCCAATGGCACTGCTCCTCTAAAGGAGTAAGGGAAGCTGACAGGAACATTTGCTTCTATCGACCTCCCACTGTGCAGATGGTGCAAAAATGTGATTTAAATGAAGTTGACTCCAGCTATGCAATTAACATAACTGGGATTGTGTATCTTAAGTCGACCTTCCTCTTGAGTGTAGATCTGGCCATAGTGAAAAGGAAAGGAAAAAGAATGGTACTATTTCATTATGTACCCATATCTTGAATACTATATGCAGTTCTGGTAATACCATCTCAAAAAAGATATACTGTATTAAAATTGGAAAAAGTACAGATAAGGGCAGCAAAAACTATGGAACAATTTTCATACAAGGAGAGATTTAAAAGATTTGGACTGTTCATCTTAGAAAAGAGATGTCTAAGAGATGATATAATGGAGGTAATTAACTTTCTTTACACCGTTAATTATTTAACAGGGAATTGTTACTTATCCTTTCATGTAACATAAGAACCAGGGCTCTCCAAAAGAACTGTAAAAGCAATGAGTTTAGAACAAACATAAGGAAGTACGTCTTCATACAATGCAGTAACCTGTGGAACTCATTGCGCAAGGGATTTCATGAAGGCCAGAAGTATGATTGGGTTAAAAATTAAGTAAGGAGGCTATGTCCTTCAATGATTATGTGCCAAGATGGTCAGGAATGTAATCCCAAGGGCTACATGTGACTGGGTGACAGAGTATGGATCTCTTGATCAGAGCCCTATTCTTTTCATTACCCTGAAGCAGCTGGCACTGGCCACTGTCAAAAGATAGAAATACTGACCTTGATGAATTATTGTTCTGACCCAGTATGGACTCTTATGTTCTTAATCTACTGTATCTTCTCTATCTCGAGTTCTGGTTTTATGCTGCTGTTTTACTGCTGTTTTGTTAATTTCTTTTTAATTTTTATTAGGTTTTAAATTAGAAATGACAACATATTCTCTTTGAGTTTCTAGGCCTTTCCAATTAGCTATATTAGTTTGCTGCTAATTGTTACAAGGTACCTTCAAAGTACAATTTCACTATGTGAATGTCATTCTTCATGAGAACTCCTTTTTTATGGCAAACTTGTGAGATTAAACCAAGTGATCTAACTTGGAAATGCAGTAGATAGATCAGTGGTAATCAGAGAGACCATGTTTTCTAGATTTTCAAAGGGACCCATGGATTTAGGCAGTCAGCTCCCACTAAAATTGAATGGGATTTGAGCACTTAACTAGCTCTCTGAGGCTGTTTTGCAAGACCCAGCGATGAGAGCTACTTTAAATCCCCCTTAACTTGCCATGACAGATAAGATTAGTATGATCATGGACTGGGAATCCTGCACCCCTCACCATGCAGTGGCATCAGGCCTTGCAGATAGAATCCAGTGTTCTGCATCATACTAACAAAATGGAAAGGCTGGTACGACAACAGCACTGTTGTTTTAACAAACGGCATTGGAAGGTTATATAGTGTTACAGTGTCTGAGTTCATTTCTGCTTCAAGGAAACATATCTCCTGTATTTAAATAAATACAAATAAAGTAATGTAGTGGGCCCAGTCCAGCAGTTTTAACTTTTATGGTATCAGGACCTAAATGGGTATCAGCTCAGAATATAGGCATACAGAAATTCATTGTACTGTTACTCATTAGATTTACCAGTGCTTTTTATTTTATTTTTTTATTTTAGGTAACAATTTTTGTGCATCATCTCCCTGTAGCCACCTGTGCTTGCTCTCCTCATCAGGGCCACAATTTTATTCTTGTGCCTGCCCTTCAGGATGGACACTTTCTCCTGATAATATGAACTGCATGAAAGGTAGGACCATAATAGCCAAAGATCAAAACAAAACAAGAAAAGGAAAAAGCCTATTAGATCAATGTCCATTCCTCTGCCAGAGCAAGATATAGCACACAAAATGACAGATGACTATATATGGAAAATACATCTGTATCATTTTAGGCAGTTTGTATTGAATGCTCTCTTTCCTGGGGTGTGTCTATACTACACCATAGGTCGAAATAAAATAAGCAATTTGAGCTATGCAAATTGCGTATCTTATTTTGATATTATTTCAAAATAGCTTATGTTAACATTTGGCGCTGTCTACACAGCATTTATTTCAAAATAAATAGCTGTTCCAAAAGGTCCCTTACTCCCTGTGGAATGAGGATAATAGGGATGTCAGAATAGCAAAATAATGGGTGTGCTAAAAAGATGCGGAATAGCTATATCAGGATACCTCTGGTATCCTGAAATAGCGTTACGCTGTAGATGTAGCCTTGAAGTTTGGGGGCAGAGCTCTGGGCTAGATTTTCACACAATCTCTAGGGGCAGATTTTTGAAAGAGCTCAGCTTCCATTTAGGCACCTTATAAAGGATCCAGACTTAAAAAAAAAATTGGGTGTTTTTGACAGAAATATTAGTGAAAAGAGTAAATTTCTAGTAAATATTAGAGACTGTTAACAGAGTGTTGAATTTTTAAATTTAATTGGTCAGACTAGAAACCTCATTCTAAGATGTGTAGTCATCCAATAAGAGAGCCAAAAGAATATCATGTTGCAGTGTATGTAATTAATAATGCCTAATTGCCAAGGCTGTCAAGAGATGAATTGAGAACAACCAGAACTGTTGCAGCATGAGTACCAAGTACAGGAGCTCTCGAGGCATAAACTAATATTACAAATACCCATGTGACTTGAGATCTCTTGCTCAACTTGAATTTCAGACATCAGATCATTTCACTGATCTGTCCTCGACCAATCTTTAGAGCAAGGGTTGTTTGCAGAAGTCATTCAGCAAATTAATTTTCTAAAAAGTCATGGAAATCATAAATTGCTCGGAGGTAATTCATGACCAGAAAAAGAGACTATATCAGTCAAAGAAAACTCTGGAGATGTGTAATGTGCTTTGGTTTGTTTCTTAAGGGGAAGCTCGAGAGCACATGAAATTTAGTCTAGAAATGCCTCTGGGCTAAACAAAGAGTAGGATTCTGTGACTAATTCAGTGGATACTCTGAGTTTTCAGAGGAAAATCAGTGTTTTGTTTCTGTTCTTGTTTTGTTGAAAAGATAATTAAGCAATGTATTATTCAAGGAGCCATATTGATTTCCTCTTATTATTAGATATAATAAACTAAAGAGTTTAAGTGTATAGTGTGTATCATGAAAGAAATAGATTAAACCTGGAATCAAGCAAGCATGAATATAGGAAATATTATGCATGTTTGCCAAGTGCAGGCTCATTTATGCCACTGTATAGAGCCAATGAATCAACATTTTTGGAAGGTCTTGTCCTTTCTTCCTAAAACATAAATCGGTAATATATGAAACTTGGTAAATCCATTCTTGTACTATTGTGACATTTTTCTAAATTCCATAGCTGTCCAATACGTAAAATAGTGCAAGAAAAAAAGGATCAGTAGGAATTTCTGTTTGAGTGAAGAAATTGAGTGCAACTTCAGATGATTTAATCTGAGTAGGCTTCTTTATTTTGTTTAGTTGAAACTTCTATTATACATTGAAAAACAACATATAGAAAGCAACAGAATTTATGTATGCATTAGATTTACTACAGGTCAGATCTTATCAGCAAAGGGTATTATACAACATTGCTGATTCTTTTCATGGTGAAAGATTTTAATTATTGCTAATGATTACAAAAGAATAGGCATTTACCATTCTTCTTCAGAGACTTATTATGATTGTAATCCTTGCTGACATTGTTTAGTTTAGCTTGCCAGCACAAATTTTCAGCAGAAAGATTAAATCAAGTTACATACATTTTGGCTGCATAGTCTTCTTTTTAACAGAGTGATACAGGGGCACTCTGTACAGGTAATAGGCATATCTAATATTACTAACCTAAGGCTTATGGGAAAAAGGTAATTCTGTGTTTGCACATTTTCTTGCTTTACAATATGGCTTTGGTAATTTTGATCTCAAGATTAGATTTTTATAGCAAGACTGTTCTCTAAATCTTTTGTGACTTGAATCTTAGAGATGTTACCATTTTGCTTGGCGAGTCTAAAAAAATGAAATGAAATGTAAAATATTGTGCTAACAAAGTAAATTTAGTGTTTCAAACATTTAATTTAAACGAGTAAGACATTAATTTTTTTATAAAAAACAACTTAATCATGTAAATGTATATTACAAGTAATGGCTCTATGAAGGCTAAATTTATGGTCCTGATTCAATTTCACTGATTTTATACTCATGTAACTCCATGAGCTTCTGTGGAGTTACTCCACAGCACAGAATCAGGCTCTGCATATTCACAGTTGTGAAATTAAAAAACAAAAACAAAAAAACCAACCAAAGTCCTTGCTTTTATTATTCCATGGATATGTAGTGAACTTATAGCTAGAGTATTAGGTATAATATTAATGTACATCTCAGACAATTCCCTTGTGACCCCCTTTTAGGGTTGGTCAGCACTTAACATCTGTGTTATGGACAATATGTAACTGTGCTTAATGAGGAGCTGCTTTGGGAGGGAATTGTGAATTTCAGGCTTTGTCTGCCCTGGGGTGTTTTTGCACAAGTGCAGCTTCATTCATGCAAAACCTTGATGCAAATGCACACAGCACCTCTACGCCAATGCAAAAAGTCCCCAGGTAACCACTCTATTCCTGGAAGTGATACAAGTTACATGGTGCAGCTTACTTTTCCACTAGTACTGATTCAGCTGTGCCAGCTGATTCATTGCTCTCATTCCCCACAACTCTCTGCACATTCCCTGTCCATTTGCTCATGGCGATGGGTGAGGGCTC